AAGCCAGCTTTTGGGGGAGCCCCTGCTTTCTCAGCCAGCAGTGTACCTTTTTCCCTGGCTGATCTGATCTTTCAGACACACACTGCTGGGCTGGGGGACCGGGCAGCAGGCAGGCAGGAGGGATGTCTGTTGTCTGGGCATCTCATTTTGATGTGTTATGGTTCCCCTCTGTGTCCTGTGGTCACTTTTCCCAGCTGCCCACCCCAGCCAGGAAAAGCACCCAAGCGGAGGAGTTGCAGTCTCTTTTCGGTCCCTTATAAATTTTGATTTTTAAAGGAAAAGCTCCCAGGCTTTCAGGTTTCAGTGCACTTTCTCACTGTGGTCCCTTTGGCAGAGCCTGAAACTGTTTTAAACACTGAACGCAAAGAGAGGAGGGGGTGGTAGGAGTGTTGCACAGCGGAGAGATGTCCAGCTGAGGAATAAAGTTGGGGAAAGATCTGGGAGCTGGTGACTGGGAGAGAGCGGCTCGCAGCAGGGCTGTGGTGTGAGTGACTTCCCTGAAGTGGCCGAAGCTCTTTGTGCTGAGTGAGCTGAACTGGGGATGTGGTGGAGCCGATGCCTGTGCCCCGGGGAGGGGCTGTCCTGCCTCGCAGCTGCCTGCCCCTGGGGGAGCCCTGCATGTGGGGGGCTCTCCCTTGGCAGCACCGGCTCGGATCTGGCTGGGACAGGGTTGCCCGCATTGCACCCGGGGTGCTGTATGCATGGAGGAGGGTTGTGAAATCACGGCATCTTCCTTCTATAAACGGCCTTTTTCAATAGTTCCAAATTCCTTTGGAAGGGGCTTTTTATGTGAAAAACCACCACTTCAGTCTCATTGCAGTAACAGCAGCCGCTTCCCAGAAAGAAGATTTAACTCTCAATAGCTGAGGAGGAGGAGGAGGAAGAGGAGGGATGTTGGGGTGATCTGGGAGGATGGGCAGTGGGAGTGTGAGGTGCTCCCTTGCTGCGGATCCCTTGCAGAGCTGCTGCACGCTGGAGTAACTTTGACTTCAGCTGGGTTTGGAGGGAGCCCCGGTGCCTGGAGGTGTGAGGCTGGGATGGAAAAAGCCAGCGATTACCCTGCTCCCTGGCTGATGGAGGGAGGAAGAGAGATGTGGGGTACCAGGGGAGACAGGGGCTGAGTCCTGAGCTGGGTGTGAGGGAGGAGGGATGGACAAAAGCGTTAACTGAGGTGGCTTTGCAGGCAGATGTCCTCTGTGCTGCTGGGAGCCTTTCCTGCTCCGTGCTGGTCCTGTGGTGGACGGAGCTGGATGCTATGGATGGTGAGGATGCTGAGCATGTCTCCGCTGTGTGAGGGACGGGTGCTGCGGTGCACAGCGGGGCAGGGCCCTGGGTGCTGGCAGGGCAGCTTGGCGGGTTGCTTCGAGCTTTGCCATGGGAGCAGAGTGGCAGCATTCCAGGGCCTCGGCCAGAATTGGCTACTGAACATCTACTAAAGGATCAGTCACAAAAAAAGCCAAGCTGTGGCTCGGGAGTTGTTGTGCAGGAACGGATCAAGCCGCAGCAGGCAGGGAGCAGCCCGGGGGCAGATCCCCTTCATGCTGCTCAGCTTTGCTGTGCTGATGGACGAGTGATGCCGGGCGCTTTGATCACTGCTCGGAAAGATGGGATCAGATCTCAGAGTTCAGCTCCAGCTCCCTCTTTGCTGGGACAGGCCCCTGCAGGTACCTCTGCCGTCTCCGTGACATCTCCTTCCATGTCACTTGTCTTCATCCTGTGCAGTTTTCTCTCCCATTGCCCCCGGTTCAGGTCATAAACCCTTCCCCAGGCAGGGGAACGCTGCTGGAGTGCTCCCAGAAACAGTTGAGCCTATGTTGCAGTAACGAGCCAATACATCACTTTTAAAGGGGCATTTTATTTAGATTATTGGTTGCTGTCACCCCGCCCCTGGACCTCTGGCATACAGCGTGTGTGCCTGTTTTCTGTCAAGTGGACTTTCTCAAAGGGATCATCCTGTCCCTGCCAGCCTGGGGGTGTGACTTGGGAGCCATGGGATGTGATGATGAGGAGGACTGCGATAGCAACCCCCACCTGGGGTTGGTCATCCTGCAGAGGGAAAGGAAACGAGTCATGGAGAGGGGGACCGTGGGGCAGGACGGCCCCGTGTTGGGGTGGAGTGGGGGACAGGCAGGCACAGCGGGGCTACGGGTGGCACAGTGTGTGTTGACTGGGGATGGTAACTGGGGCACACCCACCGCACGCTGTGGTGTGCCAGCTGCTACGGGCACACACATGGCTGCTGCCTTGCAGGTGGGACCGAGATCTGTTTTGCTGCTGTGTGGCCAGTGTTTTCTTCACGTGGTTTTATCTTGGATCCTGGGTTCAGGCAGGCATGTGTCTCCGTGGCGGCAGCCCTGGGGCTGACGCTGCACCCCAGATCCTCCTGGTGTTTTAGCAGCTTGCACAGGGCTGTTTTCACCTCCTGTGATGCCTCTGCCAGAGGATCTCTCTCGCTGCACCCCGAGATCTTCGGTGTCTGTGCCCCAAGCTGTTGTCGTGTTGCTCAGGCAGAAGGATTTTTCTGGCTTTGTGGTGGTTTTCGCTGATGGTGTGGTTGACTGATGAAGCCAGCTGGAGAACTTGGAAGCAAAACTTTCACAGCCCTTGGCGCAGCCTGGCTGTGACTCATGCACAGGGTCCAGGTGGTTTTACTCGTGCATGAGAGAAAGCAGAAGTTTCTGTTGAGCCTTTGTAGGATTTTGGTTTTGCTGGGGAGTAAGAAGCCTCAGGAGCTGAGCTGGCCCATGGAGGGGCCACCCTGCTTTCCCCACATGCCCCTGCCTGCAGCTCAGCCGAGAGCTTTGCCTGCTTCCACTGGAGGGTTTTTTCCCAAAAATGTAGATGAGAAGTTCAGTCTTTTAGGAAAACGGTATGCTAGGAGTGTGGGTGGGTGTAACAGTGGCACAGGGTGGATGATGGGGCCCCTCCACGCTAGCTCCTTGCTTGCCCCCAGACCTGTGGTGTGGGTCCCCCTCTCTCCTTTTCTGGCTGATCCTGCTGCTAATTTTAGCATCCACTTCGCCCCTGTGTCTGGGCCGTGCTGTTCAGCGAGCGGCTGCCAACGAGCCTCCTTTATCGCTGTCGCACCAGGAATTATCTCCTCCTCTGCCTCTCCCTTGCCTATTTATAAGCACCGTGAGCCATCGCTGTTGGGCACTGCGGGCTCCGAAGGCTTCATGGCTTTGCTCTGGCTTGTGCCCGGTAGCTGCAGGAGCACCAACCTCCTCACTCTCAGAGGACAGGGTGGCCCTGGTGAGTGATGCTGCTGGTGAGCCTGCCCTGGGCTGCTGGAGCTCAGCTCCCCCCTGGGTGTTTGTCCCTGTGCTGGAGCAGCCTCTGGCTCTGAGGTCCTGCCATTTGGGGGTGTCACAGCAGGGCTGGTGCCGCACAGAACACAGACAAAGGTTCTGGTGAAGCCAGCATGCAGTGGGGAGAGCGTGGCTGGTGTCTGACGGTCAGCACGGAGCTGGGGGGAGAGGAAATGACTCCTTAAGTCATTAACGTCATCTTTGTTATTATTCCAGAGGCAGGAGGCCACCCAGCTCTGGGGACCGGGTTAAGGTCCCCGAGCTGTCTGGCTGCCCCGGCGAGGGAAGCAGGGCTGCCCTGATGCAGAGAACAGCAGCACGGGTGTGTGAAGAGCAGGGGGGTGCTGTCAGCCACCCCCCCCGCCCTGCCCTTCCCTGGGGGTTCAGCCAGCTGCCCCCACGCCATGGTGTGCCCGGAGAGCTCCCCAGGGGCTGGCCTGGTGCCTCGGGTGCCCTTTGCCTGCTTCATGCCATCGGTGCCTGAGCCACGGAGCTGGAGCTTCCCGTGACTCCCTCTTTTAAACCTTGCAGGAGCACCCTGGAAACTGCCCCAAAAACAGACGGTCTGTTTCTGGCAGCACGGGCAGAATGCAAATGCTGTTTCGTGTGAACCACACTTTGAAGGTGTGAATACTCTGCTCCAGGGTCACCGGGGCCGTGGCTCCTTGGCTGCTCCTCGGAGAAGTCCCCGCTGTACTTTTCCACCGGGAAAGCTCCCGGCGCTTTCCCTCTCCCTGCCTGCATTTGCTGGGTGATTTTCTGCTGCCTTAGGAAGCACTTGTGTGAAGGCATCCAGGACTGAGCTGTGGGCAGGATTAGCCCCAGGGCTTTAAGCAGAGACACTTGGAGAACAGCTTTATTGCTTGGAGAAAGCTGCAAACTCCCTTATCCCATGGGGGAAGCAAAACACTTGAATTCTTTTGTGGTTATCTTTTGGCTGTTGATGTATGAGAGGAGGAAATGGCCTTACTGTGTGCACGCATGTTTTCCACCTGTGCTTGGAAAGATAAAAAAAAGGCTGAATATTCAGACTTTGAATGAAGAAACGCACAGGGGAATTAGCATTATGCCTTCCTAATGCCATCTGTGTGCCTGCGGTCCCTCACATTGCTCAATTATGAGTTCCCCTCCAAGGCCTTGTGGTGCCCGGGAGCGTGTGTGTCTGCGTGTGCAGGGTTACGGGGCCGGTTCAAAAAGCCAATCCTAGATCCACTCAGGTCATGGCAAGTAAGAACTTAATAGGATTCAGGTTTCGGAGAGAATCTGCAGCTTGGAAAGCAATAAACCTCTGCATTATCACCCGTCCATGGTGCCTTCATTCAGCAGGGCTGGGAGCCTGTGCAGAGGTGCTGTCTCTTGGGGGGGCAGCTGCCCTGGCAGTGCCACCCTGCGTCACCGTTTGCCACTGCCCTGTGGCACTGGGCTTGAGCTCCCGTGTGCTTCTCATGGTATTTTGAGGTTTTATCTCTTGTAGAGTATTTTGGTGGGTGCTGGATGGGACCCTGCAGAGCCCCATCCCTGGGCTGCAGAAGGGCAGTGCTCTAGGGGCTGCCCTGGTGCTGGGGGGACCCCATTGGACAGGTCCCTCCATGAGGACTCGCCGGCTGGGATTATGCATCCACCAGCATCATGGTGTTAGTGAGCTTTCCCCTTTTCTAACATCCACGGTTTCCCTCATCCCTCTCTCGGCAGACCTGTCGGCAGCCAAGCGCAAGTTTGCAGATTCCCTCAACGAGTTTAAATTCCGCTGTATCGGGGACGCTGAAACGGATGATGAGATCTGCATAGGTGAGTCCTGGGTGCTGGTGCCCTGGGTAGCCCTAAAGCCACGCTCCATAGCCCTGAGCTGAGCAGGGCACAGGGGAGAAACACACCCAAGGAAACCAAAGGGCCTGGGAATTAGTCTGGGTGCTTTCCTGCTCTCCGGAAATGGCATGTTTCTTCTATTGAACATCAGCAAAGCCTTCCCGAGGAAATCAGCTGTTGCTTCTTGGCCTAAATCTAGCCCTGCCAGATAGGAAAGGAAGAAGATTGCCCGTATCCGAAACCATCTAGGTTATCTGGCCCTTTTGCATTGGAGAGCGGGGATCTGGAGATGCGGCCATGGCCAAATACACTGCAAGGGCTGTGCTCTGCAGGAGAGAAGCAAAGGACCTGGCAGCTCAGAGCCCGGCAGGGCTCTCTGAGCTGAGCCCAGCTTTACCGTGGAGCTTCTCGTGGCGCAGGGCAGCAGCTCCAGCCGCTTCACTCAGTGTTATCCTACTTCTGCCCCAGCTGAACCTTTAGAACTTATTGTACACATCATCTGGAGCCAGGAGAGCAAATGAGCTTTAGCCCTGATTTAACATTGCTTACTGATTTGTGCCCGGTCTCTCAGCAAAAATAGCTTTCCCATCCAAGTCCCCTTGCTGCGACGCATGTGGCAGTGAGCTGCTGCTTGCGTGCCGAGCACGGCAGAGGCCAGTGCTGAGCCGTGGGGCTGTTCAGCCACTGGCTGTTGGGTCAGGCAGGTCCGAGATGAAGGTGGGGTGTTTCTCTCTGGAGGTGGCAACACAGTGCTGGGGATGCTCTGCTACCAGTTGCTAGTGTAGGCAACTGGAAGCCTTTATAGGGGGAGAGCAAAGATGATAAAAACCCCCAAACAACCAATCCCCTGAGCCCCCCAGAGCACAAACAAGAAAACCTTTCTCAGTCTCTCTCTTAATTTAAAAAGAAAATAAAACGTTGTTAAATGCTGACCGTGTGGACGGGTCTCTTCCAGCCAAGTCTCTGCAGGAGTTTGCCACGGTGCTGCGGAACCTGGAGGACGAGCGGATGCGCATGGTACGGCCCCGTCTGCCGGGAGCGGGGCGGGTGGTGGCACCGGTGCTGCCTGCGGTGGGTGGGGGGGCACCCGGGGCACTGTGGCGTGCCACAAGCCCTGGTGCCCCTTCCCTTTCCTGGGGGGAGAGCAGAGGGAGGGGAGGGTGAACTTGGAGAGGGGGGGGCACACTTGAAGAGCATCAGTAATGGTGTCTTGCAGTTGGAAAATGGCCGGTGCTGGTGCTGGTGGGACTCACTGGGGTAGGGAGCAGGTTTGGTACTCGCCCCTCAGCCGGCGCAGGGCCCGAGGGGGTGAAGCGTGGGGGTCTCTGTGGGCTGCAGGAGGGTTTCTGTGGCTGTTGAGCAGCTCGGGTGTCTGGGGCTGAGGTGGGCAAAAGGTGGCGGGTGAGTTGTGCTGTTTTTTTTCCCGTAGATCGAGAACGCCAGCGAGGTGCTGATCACACCACTGGAGAAGTTTCGCAAGGAGCAGATTGGGGCTGCTAAGGTAAGTTGGTGCTGCACTGAGAGCCGTCTTTTCTGGGATACCCTGCTTGGGCTTGGGAGCAGAGCCCGGAGCTGCGGTGGTGGCCGGGACATGGCGCACTGCGTCACCTGCACACGGGGACAATCCCGCTCCCGGGAAGGTGCCTCAGTATTCCGAGTTCACCCACAACCGAGTAACATGCCAAGGGCCTAAAATCACATGCCAGTTGAATTGAGCTTTTTTCCTTACTCCAAGAAAGAATTTGCATTTTCTCAGAGGGGTTCCCCATTGCCTGAGCCCCCCAGTCTGTGCTGCCCATGCCCGCTGTGTCGCTGGGCGGCTGCACGGCAATCTAGACGGCTTCTGGCAGGACGGGTGAGCCTGGGGAAGCACCGGTGAGGCTGAGGGCGGCTGTGAGACAGCCTGTCCCCCCTTTCTTTCCTGCCTTTGTTCTGAAATTAAAACCAGTCTGCGGTTCTCCTGTTGTTCCAACAACCTGCTGCTGCCTGCAAGAAGCACATGCCAGCCCGGCGGGGCTGTGTTTGCATGGCAGCGGTGTGCCCGGCTCTCCCCTGGCACGGGAGTCACGGTGGCACTACAGGGCAGCCCAGACTGGCCAGGCTGTCCTGGTTTGTGCAGCTAAAAAAAAAAGAAAAAGGAAAACAAGACAAAGAGGGGTGCTTCAGAAAGGAGCTGGTTATTAGCAGGTGTCAGGGGTGGATTTTGTACTGATGTGTCAGGGTGGGGAGGGTGAGATGAGAGGTGTGAAAGAAAAGTTAAGGCTCCAAGCAGCCAAATGACTGTGTCATTGTCCTGAGTGACACAAGGATGAGCCCTTGCAAGGGGCGGGGTGTGAAATCGTGATGGTGTTGCTGGTTAGCAAGCGCTTTCTTTGCTTGGGTTGCCTTTGGTTTGGACCCGCCCTGGATCTGAATGTTTTGCTGAGCTTTGGGCCCAGGGAATAGAAGAGGGGCTCCCCCAAGTCTTGGATTTTGGCAGCGTGAGTCCCTTTCCTGTAGCTGCTGATGCTCATGGATAAAAGCATTTCGAGCTGATGCCCTTGGCCTTGGCCCCATCTTGTGCTGTGCAGAAGGGGGTTAGCTCCCACCTGGGACTTGTGGTCCTGCCCAATGCCGTGGACCCTCATGGCTGCTCCAGTGCCATTGTGTTCAGTATCACACTTTTTGTTCTGTTTTGTAGGATGCCAAAAAGAAATATGACAAGGAGACGGAGAAGTATTGTGGTGTCCTAGAAAAGCACTTAAACTTGTCTTCTAAGAAGAAAGAATCCCAGCTTCAGGAGGTGAGAGCAATCTCTGGTTTTCCATGTCTAGCTGTAACTGTGGGGAGCTTTTTGAATGTTTTACGCAGCTTATAAATTTGGTTCTCCTGGCTGTAAACTCATTTTTTCCTCTCATTCTGGCTGCGAGTGCTGGGTTTTCCCCTCTTCTTTTAATCAGAGGGGATGGAGCTGTTTTGGTGAGTAAATCAGAGAGATCCCAAAATGGATAGCAATTAAAAAGGAGAGAGAGAGAGAGTTTATAATTAAAGAGTGTAACAGAAAGGAACTGGTTCTGCTGCAGGCTTCCCTTGTGCCAGCACAAATCACGATGTCTAGTTTCCTTCTCTGAAAGTGGCTGCACTGGCTTTGGGCTTCATGGGAGGAGTGATCAGGCTTAGTGCTTTTAAACTGCTTTAGGAGGCTATTACTGACGTGGGTCATAGCGAGCTACTGTGCCAGATGCTCTTACTGGATGAGTATGCTGAGTTTTCAATCACTTCTTCCAAGTTTGGAACTCCCTGCACTGGCCCAGAGCTGGGTTGGTCCCTGCAGAATGCATGTCCTTGCTTTTGGGCATTATTCTGGTGTGCTGCTGAGCCATTCTGGGGGAACTGGTGGGCACAGGTGAGGGCTCCTGCACTGGGATAGCTCAGGTGGTGATACGGTGCCCAGCAAAGTTGGGGACTCAAGAGAGTAGATATATCTGTGGCACAAAAAATCATCTTCCACCAAATCAGGGTTGAAGAGGGGGAAGAATCAGGGTTGACGTGCCTGCAAGCCAGCTTTGTCCTTGCATAAGTGTTCTGGGTTTGTAAATAACTTACTGCGTGGAACCACCCATACATCCCAGAAGATGGATAGTCCCATTCTCATGGCTTTTAAATAACCCTTTAAACCTCTGTTTTAGTTCGTGTTTGAAACACTGTTGTGACACACAGGAACGGAAGGATTTTCTTCTGGGGAGGAAAGGAGCCACTTGTGTCTGTCAGGTTGCAGCAGTGACTTTTAGAGGTGTGAGCCTGTGCCCTGGAGAGAGCATGGCCCTGCGGGGCTGCCCAAGGCAGCGGGGCGCTGTGCGGGATGGATGCGGCTGCCGCTGTGTGCTGAGCAGGGCTGGTGGCTGGTGCCATCTGCTGGCATTTTCCACCCCAAACACTGACTTCGGCTGGTGCTTCGAAGGCAGGAGGAGGCTGGAGCCAGCTTCAAATTCAAGGTCTTGGGGCCTTTTCCCCTGGGGCGCTAGGAAGCATACGCTGGTTTTGGTGGCTCAAGCCCCCCCAAGGAGGGGGGTGCCTTTGAAAGAGCTGTCTGGTGTGTAGGTTGTGAAATGTGGGTGTGGGAGCTCTCGCCCCATCCAGCACCTCTCCTGGGGCTGCCCGTCGCGGTCTCTGCCTGCCGAGGGGCTTCCCGGGCCGGGGGCTGCAGCCATGGCAGATGTGCACATGGAAAAGGTGCCTGTGTGATGGCAGAGTTTTAGGAAAGTTAACAGCACCCGTTTATAAGCAGTCTGAAGCTTCACTAGATGCCCTGGTGTCCTAAGAGAAGAGCATTTGTGTCCAGGAGATTTGGTGTTTTACATTTCCTAACCTCCTCTTGCTGTCTACATCTGGAGGGTGATAGCGGCCACATGTGCAACTGCTGTGGGGAAAGGAGGAAACCATGGGAATTCTCTGCTGCTTTGGCTGTTGACCAATTAAATAACACACAGCGTCTAATCTGCCGTTTAACTCCTGGCAAAGTTATTTGATTGCATCATACTTTCTGCTTTTCAGAACTCAGTTTGCTAAACACCTCGGCCTGCGCACCACGGGCACACAGCACAAATGCTGGTGGTGGGTCATGGGGAACATGGGCCATTTCTTGGCTGGGTCACGCACAGAATCAGGAGTAAGCTGCTGTTCAAACGCAAGTGGGTATTTGCCAGTTGGGTTTTGCAGAGTGTGGGAGCACCCGTATGTCCAGCCCTGATGGGATGTGTGGAGCAGCCTATCCTCCTCCCCGGAGGTCCAGCTCTGCCGGGGCACAGCGAGGGTCACGCTGGTGAGGGCACCCTGCCAGCCTCAGCCGGGACAGAAGAATTTCCCTCCTGTTGAGCAATGACTCGGCGGTGGTTTGCGTCCAGCTGAGTTTACTGGTGCTGAGGTCAGAGGGATGGTGGGTCACCCAGACTGACCGCCCCGGGAGCACCACTGGCATCAGTGACACCCCGGGTTGCTCTATGCAAAATGTCACTTGCAAACCTAGCAGCCATGTGTGCGGGGGGACACCCGTGTCCCTCACCCCTCAGGCTCCGCGTGCCTGACAAGGTTATTTTTATGCAGTGGGATTGGGGCATATCTCTGGTTTTGCTCACTTGGGCTTTACCTGTGAAACAGAGACGCTTTACTGTTTGCTGATCCACCGAGGTGACACACTTGCTGGAGAGGGTGGTGGGGTGTGTGCACTGCCTGGTTCGGCCCTGGGATGCTCCAGGCAGTCTCCCATCGTGGCGCTTTCCAGAAAGCGGAGAATTGCCTTTTATTGTCAAGTATGCAGCGACTTCTCATTTTTCTTGCTTGTAATATGTGCTTTTCTACACAGCTGTCGGGGAGGTGAGAACATGAGTCATTTTTAGCTGAAGAAAGAGCTGTGCCATCTGCTCAGCCCTGGACCAGGGTCTGAAGCTGAATTTGTTCTGCACGGACACGTTCCCATTAGACCCAGATGTCCTCTGATCATAAGGCCAAGCGTTCCCGCTCAGTAGTAACTTCGTATTTCCTCTTTCATCTCCCTGGTGCTTGCAGGCAGACAGCCAGGTGGACCTGGTTCGGCAGCATTTCTACGAAGTCTCCCTGGAATATGTCTTCAAGGTGCAAGAGGTCCAGGAGAGGAAGATGTTTGAGTTCGTGGAACCTGTAAGTGAGCACTCAGGCCTCCTCAGCCCTCAAAGAATGGGTGATTGCGTGGAGGAGCAGGGGCTTGGGGGGAGCGGGGCTGCGGCATGGGGCAGCCCTGTGGTGGGATGGCTGGGGGCTCCAGCCTCACCCTGCCACCCCTCCCTCGGAGGGAGATATGAGGGGAAAAAGTACCAGTGTGAGCCCCGGGGCATGGAGCCGCTGGCTCAGTGGCCGCGTGCATGATGGAACAATTTAATTTTTTATCGTGTGGACATCTCTGTCATGGTGGGCTGGGCTGTGGGGCCTGCTGCTGATGAAAATAGGCTTGATTGGGGGAAAAAAATTAGAAGTGTAACATTCACAAGGGAGGAGGAGTGCAGGAGTGACAGAAACAGGAGAAAAAAAAGAGTTTTCTAAGACCTACCTTTGCTCAAGTACTAAGTTCTTTAATGCTCCTTTGGGAAGTGCCAAACCTCCGTGGCTCTTTGCAAAGGTCATTCCTGCTGAGGGACGAGTAAGTGGGAGAGGTGCCCCCGGGGCGTTGCAGGGATTCTTCCCCTCGGCAGCGGTGGCTCTGACAGCAGCTGTGGGGTCTCTACTGACTGTCTTGATTCGTTTTACCCCAACGCAGCTGCTGGCCTTTCTGCAGGGGCTTTTCACTTTCTACCACCACGGCTACGAGCTTGCAAAGGACTTCAGCGATTTCAAGACAGAGCTGACAATCAGCATCCAGAACGTAAGTGTGCCATGTGCCCGTGATGCTGTGCCACGTGCTCGTCGCCGTGGCTGTCCTGCAGAGCTAACTAACACTTTTGAGAGATTTTAATAAAGGTTTTACAATCCTTTTTTTATATGCCATCAAGCAAAGGCTTTGACTGTGCCGTTGAAAGCAAATTTTTTTTTGTAAATAACACTACATCCTATACACAGCCCACTTGGCAGTTCATTCCCTACGGCATACCAAACGCAGAGGCCCAGCTTCCCCAGGAGTCAGCCAGCGGGCAGGCGTCACTGTGTGCCCTGTGATTTTAGTGAGTGTTTCAAACCATTTTGCAAGTGTTTCAAAGCGCTGCTCGTTCTGGGAAGTGCAGCACTTTTTGCCATCCCAGTCTCCGGGCCGTGGAGCGGAGCCCTTCGGCTGGCTGTGGCTGTGGCCGGCGTGCGGTTGGTGCCCGCACGCTGGACGTGTGAGCAGAGCTTTGGCATGTTGGCATTGCAGCTTTGCTTTCCTCTCCTGTTATAAAATTACTGGTTTTCTCCCGAGAGCACAGACTGATTTCATTCTTTTGAAATAACTTTTTAACAGAACTCATAATACAAACACCTTGCAAATTGTAATATTTTTCTTTTAGCTTAAATCCAGGCCCAGGAAGGAAACCTGTCCTGAGGCTGACAGTGGGCCTCCCTGGTCACATTTCCCACACGGGCCATGGGGACCCAGCTCTGGGGTCCCACCCCTGCGTTGTGCCTCCTCGCTGTGGAGGAGGCCACGTTGGGTCCATGCATTGGAGAAGACTTTCCTGTTTTAATTTGCAGACAAGAAATCGTTTTGAAGGAACAAGGTCAGAGGTTGAATCTTTGATGAAGAAGATGAAGGAGAATCCTCATGAGCACAAAAACATCAGCCCTTACACGATGGAGGGTTATCTCTACGTGCAGGAGAAACGTAGGTGTCGGGGCGGCAGAGCTGCCTGCCAGGGCAGTGTGGCGAGTGGGCACGTGGGGGAAGGTGGTTCATCAGGGTGTGGGGCATGAAGGCTAATTCATCAGGCTACAAAATCCATGGAAGAGAGGGATCGGCCCAGTGGGTGGGATATTAAAGTGGGAATGCGGGACCCAGGTTCTTCCTGGGCAGGGAAAATCACTGCCAGTGCCTGATAAAAGTTTCCCCTGAACAGAAGGGGGGTAATAGTGCTTAATCCTCTTGCAAAGTCCAACAAGAACCATAGGTACAGAAATCTGTCATGTTAAATGATTGTTAAACATAACAGGTTATTAACAGGAGGGCACTGAAACAGTACTGGTTCTGGGAATAAAAACTGCATTTGCTTTGTTAGGTCACTTTGGGACTTCTTGGGTGAAGCATTACTGCACGTACCAGAGGGAATCGAAGCGGATCACCATGGTGCCGTTTGACCAGAAATCTGGAGGAAAAGGGGTGAGTGCTGATAGCAGGACTGTGTCCCGGGGGGCTGCCGGGGAGCACCGCGGCACTGCCGGCTGCATGCGCTCCCGGTGCTCAAAGGGAACCGTTTTTAGCAAGGTGACACACATGCAAGTGAAGTGGGTCAGATTTGTTCCAGGGTGAGCATGTGCCACATGGGGAAATAAAAAACAAAACAAAACAAACAAACAAACAAAAACAACAAAAAAAACCCCAAACAAACAAAAAACCCCTAACCAACCAACCAAAACAAAACAAAAAAAAAACCCAAAACCAAACAGAAAAAAAAAATACAAGCAAACCCCTAAAGGCCCACAGATCTTTGGATACTGTCAGCTGTGCTGAGAGCAGAGCTGGTTTCCCAAGTGCATAGAGCCCCTTGGACATCGCTGTGTTTCATGCTTCAGCTCCATATTCCAGGCTGATGTCTGCACACAGCTATGTGTAAGGATAAGTTTGCAGCAGCTGCCTCTGGACTGAGTCTGGGCCTTTTTTGTCTTTCTCTTAGGTCTGTCCTTTATTTACTGAATTCCGTTTGTGAAAGGAGAGACCTTTAAACGCTGAAGCATGCGCAGTTGCATCTTCTGTTCCATTCTCGCTGTTCCTGGTGGTGCTGAGCACATGGTGGCTTGTGCATCTGCACTGTGCCCTGTGAGGCTGTGGCTTTTTCGGGGCTGGGAGCAGAGTGGGGTTGTGCCATGCATACCCACCATGCTCCAGCTCCAAGTGCCGGCTCCCCAGCCCCTAGTTGCTCCTCCAAGGTGTGGAGAAGAGAACCTGTTCATTATTTTGCTGCTTCCCTGATGCCTGTGACTTGGCCAGGGAAGTTGTTTTGTTTTAGATGGAGCCACAGGAGAGGCTGGAGCTGCCCTGGGTCCCCAGGGGGTGTGGAGGAGCAGGGGGAGCAGTGGATGTGGGGTGTGGGGGGCCAGCACATCCCGTGTGCCCCACTGTTCCCAGGGCAGCTGTAGCTGGGACTGGCTTTGCTCCTCTATACAGCAGGAACAATAGACCCCCCTGGAGTGTTCCTGGCTGGGGTGGTTTGTGAACATTATCCCCTTTCAGGGGAGCGCCTCGGGCGGCTGGACAGACTGCCACATGGCTCCCTGCTGGCAAAGGGAGCCAGCTGTAGGGAGGGCAACTTTTAAAATTAATTTCCTCTTGCCTCGGAGCATCTTCATTATAACTCAGCCTTAAAATATCCCAGCCCTGTAATCATCAGTTGGCTGCACTGTGTTTCATGTGGTTTCTTCCCATTTCACAGCTTCCCTTGCACCCCGGGGCGCGGGCGCTGCCGGCACGACCGCGAGCCCTGCTCCGGCATGCTGTGCCGGCCACCGTGCCAGTGTGGCTGCTTGCCCGGGGTCTCATGGCTTGCACGATCCTGGCATGAAACGCTGCCTAAGCTGGGGCAGCTCTCCCCGGGGCTGCAGAGTCTATCAGGGGTGAGCGGCAGCAGGCGTCGGAGCGTGGAGCAGCCCAGGGGCTTGTGGCCGCACTGCCGGGCGTTTCGGGGTCTGGTTGGAGCAGGCGCCAAGCGATGGGTGATGTCGGTGCTGCAGGAGGAGACCTATGGGTCACAAAAGACACTGCACGTGGTATCAGCCCCTCGGGAACGTGCCTCGGGCTGTGGCTGGAGCCGGATGTTTTAGTGGGTTGGAAGCAGGGGCATTCCCTTAAATACCGGACGGGGAGTTTGGCAGCTTGGGAGCAGCCCTGTGCCAGCAGCAGGCCAGGCTGGGGAGGACCGGCTACAGGTAGTGTCTGCTGAACCCCGGGGAGAAGCCCTGCAGGGAGCTCCCTCTGGTCTGTCTGCCCAGGTCTGTTCAGGGACCCTTTCCTGGTCTTTTGTGGCAGCAAGAGATGCAAGGGTTGTTGATGTGTTAGAAACCACAGAAATGCCTGAGAATGGTCATGTAGGAATTAGGGCTTCTCCCCACAAAAAGGTGGTGGGATCAGTAGCCCAACTGAAGTGCATCTACAGCAATGCACGCAGCATGGGCAACAAACAGAAGGAGCTGGAAGCCACCGTGCAGCAGGAAAACGATGACAGTTGCCATCACAGAAGCATGGTGGGATGACTCACACAACTGGAGTGCTGCAATAGGTGGCTGTAAACTCTTCAGAAGAGACAGGCAAGGAGAGAGAGGTGGTGGGTAGCCCTGTATGTTAGGGAGTGTTTTGATTGACTAGAGCTTTAACAATGGTGCTGATAGGGTTGAGTGTTTATGAGTAGGAGCCAGGGGCAAGGTCAACAAGGCAGATATTGTGGTGGGAGTCTGTTACTGACCACCCAGCTAGGATGAAGAGGCAGATGAGATAATCTGTAAGCAGCTGGGAGGAGTCTTACAGTTACTAGCCCTTGTTCTTGTGTGGGACTTCAACTTGCCAGATGTCCACTGGAAATACAACACAGCAGAGAGAAAACAGTCCAGGAGGAGGTTCCTGGAGTGTGTGGAAGATACCTTCCTGACACAGCTGGTGAGGGACCCAGCTAGGGAAGGGGCCAGCTGGAGCTGTTGTTTGTGAACAGAGAAGGATTTGGTTGGAGACTGTCTTGGGCACAGTGATCATGAACTGATAGAGTTTTAATTTCTGGGAGAAGTAAGGAGGGAGGTCAGCAGAACTGTCACCTTGGACTTCCAGAGGGAAGACTTTGGCCTGTTCAGGAGCCTGGTTGCCAGAGTCCCTTGGGAGGCTGTTCCGAAGGGCAAAGGAGTCCAGGGAGGCTGGATGTCCTTCAAGAAAGAAATCTTCACAGCACAGGAGCAGGCTGTCCCCACGTGCCGAAAGATGAGATACTGGGGAAGAAGCCTGGCCTGGCTGAACAGAGAGCTTTGGCTGGAACTCAGGAAAAAAAGGAAAGTTTATGACCTTTGGGAGAAGGGGAAGGCAACTCCGGAGAGCTCCAAGGATGTTGTGAGGTTATGCAGGGAGAAAATTAGAAGGGCCACAGCACAGCTAGAACTTAATCTGGCTACTGCTGTAAAAAACAAATAAAAAAGTGTTTCTATAAATACATTAGCAACAAAAGGAGGGCTAAGGAGAATCTCATTCCTTTATTAGATGTGGGGGGAAACATAGTGCCGAAGGCTGAGGAAAAGGCTTGAGGTACTTAATGCCTTCTTTGCCTCAGTCTTTAATAGTAAGTCCAGTTGTTCACTGGGTACCCAGCCCTCTGAGCTGGAAGAGTGGGATGGGGAGCAGAATGAAGCCCCCACAATCCAAGGGGAAATGGTTAGTGATCTGCCACACCACTTAGACGCACACAAGTCTATGGAGCCAAATGGGATCCACCCAAGGGTGCTGAGGGAGCTGGTGGAAGTGCTCACCAAGCGACTTTCCATCATTTATCAGCAGTCCTGGCTAACCAGGGAGGTCCCAGTTGACTGGCAAATGTGATGCCAATCTACAAGAAGGGCTGGAAGGAGGATCCAGGGAACTACAGGCCTGTCAGCCTGACCTCGGTGCTGGGGAGGGTCATGGAGCAGATAGATCATCTTGAGTGTCAGCCATGGGTTTATGAAAGACAGGTCCTGCTTGACTAACCTGATCCTTCTGTGACAAGGTGACCTGCTTAGTGGATGAGGGGAAAGGCTGTGGATGTTGTTTACCTGGACTTTGGTAAAGCCTTTGATGCCATTTCCCACAGCATTCTCCTGGAGAAGCTGGCTGCTCATGGCTTGGATGGGCGTACTCTTCACCGGGTAAAACACTGGCTGAAAGGCCAGGCCCAAAGGGTGGTGGTGAATGGGGTTAAGTCCAGCAGGCAGCTGGTCACAAGTGGAATTCTCCAGGGCTCAGTACTGGGACCAATTCTGTTTAATATCTTTATCGATGATCTGGACGAAGGAATTGAATGCACCCTCAGTAAGTCTGCAGAGGACGCCAGGTTAGGTGGGAGTGTTGATCTGCTGGAGGGTTGGAAGGATCCACAGAGCGATCTGATCAGGCTGGAGTGATGGTTCACGGCCAATTGTGTGAGGTTCAACAAAGCTCAGTGGCGGGTCCTGCACTTGGGTCACAACAACCCCATGTAATGCTACAGACTTGGGGCAGAGCGGCTGGAAAGCTGCACAGTGGAAAAAGCCCTGGGGATGTTGGTTGACAGCCAGCTGAATCCGAGCCAGCAGTGTGGCCAAGGCGGCCAGTGGCATCCTGGCTTGTGTCAGCAATAGTGTGGCCAGCAGGACTAGGGAAGTGATTGACCCCCTGTACTTGGCACTGGTGAGGCTGCACCTCAAATACTGGGTTCAGCCTTGGACCCCTCGCTACAAGAAGGACATTGAGGTGCTGGAGCGTGTCCAGAGAAGAGGAACAGAGCTGGTGAAGGGTCTGGAGCACAAGTGCTGTGAGGAGCAGCTGAGGGAACTGGGGGGGTTTAGTCTGGAGAAAAGGAGGCTGAGGGGAGACCTTCTTGCTCTCTGCAACTACCTGAAAGGAGGTTATAGCGAGGTGGGGGTCAGTGATAGGACAAGAGGGAATGGCCTCAAGTTGTGCCAGGGGAGGTTTAGATTGGATATTAGGGAAAATGTCTTTACTGAAAGGGTTGTCAAGAACTGGAACGGGCTGCCCAGGGAAGTGGTGGAGTCACCATCCCTGGAGGGATTTAAAAGCCGTGTAGATGTGGTGCTGAGGGACATTAGTGTTGGACTTGGCAGTGCTGGATTAATGGTTGGACTTGATGATCTCAAAGGTCTTTTCCAACCTAAATGATTCTGTGATTCTAAATACATTTCCTGGAAAAATGGTGATGTGAGGGAACAGGGTGGTCAGCCAAGGTGTCACCAAGAACAGCACAGAGAACACAGAAAAGTGGCCATCTCCAGGAACTCGTTCAGAATTCATTTTCTATTGAGTCATCGGTGGATTTTAAAAATTGCAGGAGCAATGTCTGTGCTGTCGGGGACTGTCAGGGATTTCCTCCAGCAGAGGACAGCAGTGCACACGGATCCTGCCAGCTCGCTGCTCGGCGTCTCAAAATCCAGTACAACTTGGATGCAGATGCCTGGATGGGAGAATGGTTTTGTTGCTGATTTGTTATCTAATAAACGTTTTAAGATTTGCTTGCTCCCGTTAAGAGTTCTCGTGTGCAAAATGCTGCCAGAAGTGCAGCCTGGAGTGAAAATGGACTGCCAGGTCTACGATATATTCTTCAGCAATGGAAAATAAAGCTGACTTTGCTCCAAAGTTGTGGTCCAACACTCCCTGCCTGCCTGAAGCATGGGTCGTGTGATGCTTAATGCACAAATTTAATTGTGCGCATTCTGAAAGGAAGGCTTATCATGAAAGATTTTGGACTAATCGTGTTTTCAAGGGTGAAAAGACAAGTCCTCACGTCAGATGTATAAATATTTATTCCTAGCAGGCTGACGTCAAATCCCTCCGGGTTTGAAAAATGTTCATTGAAAGCACAGTGGGTGCTAGGGACGCACTCATGGTCGGTTAATTGTTCTCAGCCTTATCTGCGATTTTTGTCTCTTCTCAGGGAGAAGATGAAGCTGTTACCCTCAAATCTTGCACACGGCGGAAAACTGACTCAATTGAGAAGAGGTTTTGCTTTGATGTGGAAGCTGTCGATCGGTGAGCGCCAAGGGGCATCGCAGCCTCGGCGTGCCTGCAGCCCGGGGCGCCGCAGGGACGCACACGGCGGGGGTTACGTTGGCCATGCGTAGGGAAAGGTTGCACTCATCTGGACTTGGCTTTTCGGGGTAGTTCTTGTGCAATTTCTCTTCTCCTTTAGTTCTGCCATCTGTGAATGGAAAGCATTAGTGCATGGAAACACTGCTGCTTCTAGGCAGGTGCTCTCAATATATCCAGTTAGTGCTTCAGTTTACAAGGTGCCGAGTTTACTCAAGTCTCTCAAACTTTAATGGTGTTTTAGCACTTCTGCAGTCTCTGGCCACATAAGGTGAATGGTTGTGAGTATGGAAAAGATGCTCTGTGGGTGTTTCGGCAGGGATATGATGTCTCTTTCCAGCATTGGGTATGTGTTGGAGTAACTTCAGCTTTTGTGCTGGAGAGTGGTTGTTGCTGGTCCACTGTGGATGGGCGGTAAGTCCAGCTTGCACCTCCAGGCACTTTACATTCACTGCTTTTTCCTGAAGGAGTAAAAGGCTTTCTAATGTGACTTATCACCCAGCAGCTGAGCCAGATGTATGTGTGGATTCAATCTATAGCACCTAGGAATGAGAGCCTGTTATCATATGTAACGAGCATCACGCACGGCTGACATATATAAACAGGAAGACCAGGCTGGCGTTGCTATTCCGAGTGGTGTTAGTCACTGCCCCGTATCTTCCTTGCTGCAGGATGTTTACATGGTTTACAAAAGCTCGCTCCAAAGTCACTGATGTCCGTGCCCTCCCCTCTGTGTGCCTGTTCATGTTCCAGCTGTCCTCCCTTCCGCTGGCCACTGCGGGAATGCCCAGGAGGGCTCGGGGAAAACCCAAGTTTGTCAAAACCCGAGTTGTTGAATAACGCTGGAATAACCCGCGGTGCCTTTCCCTGCCCAGCCCGTGCTCCTGCAGCGTTTTGGTGCCAGCCCAGGGCCGGGAGGGGTTGGGGTGATGGAGCTCTGCCTGTGTTGGCTGAGGGATCAGATAACCCCAGGGCTGCCTCCCGCTCTCTGCAGCTGTGCTTTCCTCCAGAAAGCTGCAATATTTCTGCTGACATGGGGATTTTTTTTTTTTTCCTATGTCCTGAGGATATTTTTTTTTTAATGTGAAAATCAAAATAAAACTGGGAGGCGGAGAAGCCAGCCACCACAATAGTTTTCCTCTGCAGCATGTTCAGAGGCAGCTGAACCTTCCCTTGATGTCTGGAGCCTGCTAGGCATGGGATCAAGAACTACTCCAGAAACATGCCTGCTAAAGGTAAATAATGGCAGGGGAGCGGCAAAGGCGGGGAAACCTGAGAAATTGCTCATTTCATATACATGTTCCTGCTGCAAGAGATTGCCCAAGAGGACAGTGAGAGCAGAAAACATGAAATAAAAAGCTGTTTTTTCCCCCAGTATACAGGCAACTCTGCATATTTTTGGTATCAGAATTTGTCATTAGTTGTCTAAAATAACTGTTATTTCCAAAATGGTTAAGCTAAGAGGAATAGGAGCCAACAGGTTTTGCCATGGCCAAAAGAGAGTGTGATGTGCCCTCCCTGGGATAGTTGGGAGACGTAGGCACCGTCGGGGCTCCGGGTGACGCTGCCCATGGCCAGGGTTTGCTGGAGACTGCCCTCACCTTGCCCGGCACTCCAGATTTGGCCTATTTTACAAAGCGGTGTGTATCGAGGAACGGTTTCCTTGCCAGCCTGGGATTAACGGGGATTGGCAACACGTGGCTGCCACCCTGCAGCCGTCCCGCCAGAGCCTGGCCCTGGGTTCCTTGCGCGGAGGTGCTGGGCTCGCCTGGGCGCTGCGGGAGGGAGAAGCGTGCCCGCTGCTCGGGAGGTCAGCCAGGCCCGGGCAGCAGGGAGGTAACGCCTTCGGAGGCATTGCTTTCCATTCAGTGCTGGAGGAGATCAGCTTTGGCTTAAGGACCCAAGCACAGGCACCCCAACTTCAGCCCCCACTTTCCACCCAGGCCCACTGACCACAAACGACAGGCTATCTTCGACCAAAGGCTTGCTGGAGCAGTGTCTGTGTCTGTTTTTGCAGAATGGAGGAGGCTGATTTTATGTAGTGGCTTTTTGTCTTGGGCTGTTTTTATTGTTTTGTATGTTGGTTTTTTTTTTTTTTTTGTGTGTGTGTGTGTTTTTTGTTGTTTTTGTGTTTTTTTTTTTTTTTTCATTGTCCCTACTAATAGAGAAGTTAGAAACTTGATGTCTTGTTCTTCAGCCCCATGCAGGAAGTCTGGATATGATTAAGGCAAACATCCCCAAGATGCTTCTGTCTCACATATGTACTGTGTTTTGACTTACAGCAGTTTTCCCCTTTCTTTTCTGTATGCAACCCCTAAATGAAAATTAGACTTGTAACCAGTGTCCAGCAAGAAGAGTCAAGTATCTTGTAACTGATAGGTGCGTGCAGTCACCTGTCACTAAGCCAGCCCAGGAGAACACTGTGATACGGAGAAAACCACATGTGTTTGTGGTGTTCAGAGGTAAGGGTGAATAATGCCACCGTAGTGTGCTTCTCCTCAAGTTTGAAACTGCCTTTCAAAAGGTGGATTAAGAGAGCAGGAAGATTTTTCTGTACACGTCGCTTGCTTGCAATGGATGATTAGATTGGATTATGTCGCTTCCGACGTACGTGTGGAGCGAGAATACGCTGGGTTGCATGTGTACCTCACTCGGCAAGAACAAGGGGCGTTGCTTGCTGCTGGGGGTTTCGGCAGGTTTCGGTTTGTGCACCCCCTGTACCTTTTCAGAGACACGTCCCCTTGGGGTTCAGTTGGCTTTTCTGGGCTCTGGTGCTGCCCCCCCACCCCCAGCGCAGCATCACGCTCTGGGGATCCCCAGGCTCCGGCTTGAAACCTGCAGCTGTGGAAAGTGCAGAGGCCATCGGTGCCTCCAGCAGTGTTGGATGGGTGACACGTCGCTGTATTTGTGTCCAAAACACCTCTTAAAGCTGCAGCAGGTCGCACTTAGATCACCTTGCAGAGGGACCCGCAGGCCGGTGTCCCCCCCGGGGCTCTGCGGGGGGGCAGGTAGCCCGTGCTGCGCTGCGGTGTTGCTCTGTGCCCTCCAGTGAGTTACGTGTGTGCAGCGGTGCCGTGGGGGCAACGTGAAGTCCACTTTCTTCCCAGGCTCTTTGAAAGCGTGTTCCATCGTTTTTTAAGGCCTCTGTGCACAGGCTGCCTTAGTTTTATTTGTTTTATTGTGGCCTGGCAGGTTGTGTCCGTGTCATTAACACTGGCACGAAGCAGCACCGGTGGGGCTCAGGGCTGGGGTTACCCCTCTGTCTCCTGCTGGAGCTGGCAGGATAAAAACCTGTAGTAATGACGGTTTGCTTATGTATCAGATCCCGTGCTAACAGCCTCACGCACATATAAGCGCGCATGAGAAAATTTCACTTTCTACTCCAATGTTTTTATCTCCTGTTAGCATCAAATTTGCCTAGTTCTTCATGCTTTGTCCATACTGACTTGCACGGTGTTGTAGGGTGAGGTGCAATCCCAGTGTTGTGGGGCTGTGGTCCAGCTCCTGGTTTGCGGTGCAGCCTGGAGGTGGCAGCCTCGGCTGGCCCTTCCCCGGTTCCCTTCCTCCGCACAGATCTGAACTTGTCAGCGTTGCATTTTGAGGTGCCGGTGTACATGCAACAGAGGGGTGCAGGCTTGGAGCTTTTTAAATTACGCCTGGAGAAGCTGGTGCTTGTTGAGGGGGGACACACCGTTGTTTTTTCTCCTGTAGAGATGATTCAGCCCTACCGAGCTGAAAATCTTGAGCCTAATCTGTTATCACAACGTTGTTTCCTTTTCCCATCGTCTGATAAGGAGACGCTGAATTTCCCAACGCTGGAACAGGTGTTTGTGAGAGGTCTAAGAAGCCCCTGACACTGCATTTGCAAATAGTTCTGATTTTCAAGTGTGGGAAGTTAGGAGTATTTTATTGCTTTGTTACAGCAAAATTAGCCCCAGCATGGTGTTCTAGTGTGTTCTAGTGTCTGGCTGAAATACATTCCCAGTGTGATGGATGCTGTGTTTTACTGTTAATGCTCTTTTTTTTCTAACTAAACTTATTTGTAGTCTCTGTGCATTAAATCAGTCTTGTAAACAAGGTAAACAGGGATGACAGCCAGTGTCTTACAAAATGAGCCTTAGGAGGAGGAGTATCTCATCTGGCTGATGACAAAGGCTTTGTAATTTAGGATAATGTAGGTCATTGCTCTGGGCCAGAAGCGAAGTGCTTCTATTACCAGCTGGCTTTTATAGGAGCAGGAGGGATTCAAAGTTTGGGGGGTTTGGTTGTTCCTAAGGGCAGTAACCTCTGCAGGGGATGCTGTTCCCTGGGTCACCGCGCTCGCTCGGGCTGCACAGGGGTTGGCACCGGGGTGGGGACCTGCGGGTCTCACCGGTGCTTTGGACAGCACGTGCAATACAACTTGTACTTGTTCCTCTGCTGGTGTCGCCTTTCCAGTGACCTTTTAAACAAAGCGATTCGTGGGGTTTTCACAGGCGGGCTGGCAGATGAAGCTCGTTCCCCCTTCAGCGGCTACGGGGACCCACGCCGGCCCTGCCCCTGCAGAGCGTGCTGGCGGTGGTTGTACCGACGCTGCTTTAAGCTTTACACGGACAAGTGAAACTTTCTCAGTTCAGGAACAGTCTCCCCCTTATTTACATCTCTTCTCGTCTTCGTTTTGGGGCCACAGCTGGCTGCTGGTGCCTGGACCAGCCCAGGGGACCTGCGGGGGTGCCAGCAGCGTGGGGGCACACTGCTCTGCTCAGGCTGGGACTGCAGACTCTTCCGTGCGCTCAACTCTGCGCAGCCCTCGAGACCCTGTTATTAATCCACTCTTAGGTTTTCTCATTCAGCAGTTTAGATTGTCTCGGTATGATAAACTGCTACAGGAGTTGAAAGTTCTTATCTGTCTCTCTTGCTTTCATTATTTGTTTGTTTTTCTGGAAGAAGGAAAAGCTATTGGACTTTCTCATTTTTTCTGCGTGCTTAGTCATAGCTCCTTAAAACCAGGCTGTTTTTCACAAAAGCTGAGATATTGAGAAAATTCAAATTTCCTGTGTGGTCTCATATGGAAAGATCTCTTTAGTTTTTAGATTGTAGCATATTGGAAATATACTTTCTTGCAAAGCGTTTACCATGTTCTACTACCCACATCCACTCAGGTTAGAAATGAATTCCTCCTGATCCCCAAATGTCCCTTTCCCCCCTTGCATCCCAGAAGAAGGCAAGGGGCTTTGGTGCCTGGGGGCTGAAGTGTGTGATGCATCATCTAGTAATGAATCAGCAGGTCCTTTATCCTGTTTGCCACAGCAGTTCATGTTTGTACACCTTAGATGTCAGATCCAGGCGGGTGTCCCGCTGTGCCAATGCGACAGTCTGGGCGCTGGCTCGGGTGGGCAGAGCTCCCAGGGTGAAAGAGGCTCCTCCAGCCTGTGTCCCTGTTCGTGCCACATCAGGCTTTGGGAGGGGAGGTGAGCTGCCCAACAGCAAAATTTGCTAAGCCCCAGTATTCAGGATCATTCATATGCTAGGAGAGGGAACAAAGGCACACGTTTTGTTTATCTTTTGGGAAAGGAAGTCAGGGAAGGGCCTTCCCTGTCTCAGGCTCTACACTGAATAATTGAGATATTCGTAATCTAATGAGCACACTTTTGGAAACGGTTGATCTTCAAGGCAACTCCGTGAAAATAAGGCTGGCTGCAGACAGCGAGTTGAACATGGCTGCATGCTGATAGCATTAGCAGGATGCTGCTTCAGCACCAGCCATCCTACCTGACTGGTAAGCACATGGTACCCCATGGGCATCGTCCGTATAAATAATGAATGAGGCGTAATGTGTGGGGTGCATTTTAAATTTATCACAACCAGGAGGACAGTGCTGCTCAGGAAAGTGGTGCAATGGATGCCTTGGCAAATGAACACTGTGGGAGGAAGTACAGAGCTATTTGCAATGTAAATAGGTTTTTAATTCAGTTTCACAGCCCCTCCCCTCATGCTGTTAAATAAGTTTGACTTTGAAGTGGAGCCCAAAGAGTTGTTATCTGCTCAAAGGCAGAACAAATATTTTCACGTTATCACCCTTTTGCCCTGTGCTTGAGGGAACCTGGCACGTCAGATACCACTATTGTCTACCCAGGACCTTGTCTCTTCACTGGGAGTCCTGTGTGAATGATTTGTGAGCAAATGAACGATTTAAATTTCTTTCTTTTAATGTCTTGGCTAAAGAGATGGAAATCCCAATGTTTCCTTTTCGCATGTCTTCCTAGTTGAGCTAGAGCCCCTCCAGGGCTTTCTGCCTGGAATATCCATGCCTTCAGCAGCAGCTTGCCTTAAACTCGGATTTAAGCCCTGGCTGAAAGGGGGTGTAGCTGAGACCTCTGGTCACCTGGGGAAAAGCCTGCTCCTGCTCTGGGGGAAAGATCTGCTGTCAGCCTGTAGCCAGTGCCACTGCAGCTCCTCAGCTACCAGGGGCTACTCTTGAATCGCTTTGTATCTGCACAAAGAGCTTGGTTCAGTGTTTTGAAAGTATTTGGCATTGGATGTTGAAAGTTTTCTTTCTCAAATGGGGTGATGGTTAAGTGGTTTCCTCTTCCCTTCAAAATGAGTAAACTTCCAAACCACTAAGCTGGTGAGTATTGACTGAGTCACCAATGGGATTAGCGGAGATCAAACACATTATGTCTGGTTTACTTGGACCTGGGCTTGTTGCAAGCCTGAGCGCACGGCTTCTACTGGTGAAGCAGTGTTGAGCTGCCGTGTGTGTGCCGAAAGCGTACTGTTGGGTCGGTTGGATGGGGAGCGGAGTTAGGGAGAAGGGTTAATTCTTTGGTCCTTGATCGTACCTACCACAGAAGTGACAGAAGACAGGCCAAACCCACCACTCTGAGAGCTCCTGTTAATGTTTTCTTTTCTAATAGAGGATTGGCTCTTATCAAGGACCAAACGACTTTTGCAGAGTGCTGTTGCAGCTCACTTTCTCCTGCTGAATCACTTTTGGGAAGCACAAGTTAGGAATCACCCTTCTTCCCAGGCCTTACCAGTTTTTGAGGATTTAGTACCGAGAAGAGCCTACGTGCTCTGCTGAACGCTGTCCGCAGGCGGTTGGCAGCTCCTGAGGTGAAATTGCTCTTCCCTCTGTGTGCCACGGCAGCCCGGTGCCCTGTGAGGGGTGACCCTGACTCGCCGCTGTGCTTTGCCGTGGGTGGGAAGAGCAGCGTCAGAGGTTCTCTGCTGTCATACTTTTGATGGATGAAACCCCACGGGCATTGCTGCAGAGAGAGCACCGGTAACCACCCTGAGCACGCCGAGCCGCGCAGCGCTCTGGCCAGGCCTACATCTCCCCCGTTGCCAGGGCTTCTGCCCGCTCCCCTCCTGCAGAAATAGCTGCCACGCTCAGCTAATGCGTCTGAAAATAGCCTGGGAGGAAGCAGAATGATGAGACCAAATGAACAGAGCAGATCTCATCAGTCTCCGTGAGCACGGGGCCTCTGCCCGCTCGCCCGGGTGCAGTGCAGGCTCAGGATGCGGCCACCCCTTCGGAGGCTGGAGACCCGCACCCAAAGGCACGAGGCTGAGGAGGTGGAGGGCTAACTAGGCTTTTTGTGCCGGGATCTGCCGGCTGCGGGGTGAGCTGGGGTGCTGAGGATGGAAAGCCTGGCAGCTCGCAGCTGAGCGAGAGGCGGTAAATCGTCAGCCCACGACGCGACCTGTAGGAGTACAGTGGCAGCTTTCCCCCTCTGCGGCATGTCAGATGCACAGCCACACCTGAAGTTGTGCAAATACTCTCCACCGTGTTAAATCCATCACTACCACCCTGGTGGTCATGCTTAACAGAGCTAGATGATTAAATTTTAACTCCTTGTATGGAAAAGAAAGTCCAGAAGTAGACTTAGGGTCCACAGACGGGTGGTGGAGGTGGCATTGGTCCTAGGATGAGGGCTGGACTGGTGCTATCCCCTGGCTCTTAGGCCTGTCCTTTCCCCTTCTCGTTAAAATAAGCAAGCAAACGCAGAGTTATTTATTTGGAAGCTGGATTTACAGTGCAGCTCATGGGCTGTTGTGTGAGTTACAGCAGGGGGTGGCAGGGCCGGGCAGGACGGAGCACCCCAGGGCACCCCGGGACTCATCGCAGCGCTCCCCCCGCAAAGCTGCTGGCAGGGGCACGCGGAGCAGGAGCGCATCGTGGCGTTACCGCGCCTGACATCAGCACGTGGACGTGGTCAGGGAGGAGGCGCAGCCACGCCGGCACAACCGTGGCAGGGATGGAAATCTTCATGGAGCAGAAGGTTGCTTGGGATGGTGGTGGGATGTGGGGGCTGGGGGGCTTGGGTCTCCTGCTTGCTTGGTTACCTTCCTTGCCTTCTGCCATCGCATGGACATGCTTAGCCCAAGTGCAGGTGAGCTGTCTGGCTGAAAGCCAGAGGAAGATTTTGGCATCCAGCTCTCTTCCATTAAAACCACTGAAAATGTGTGTTGATTGTTGGAGATCCCCTCTGCTCTTTTGCTGGTCCTGGTTAGGACCTGCAGGGACATCCCTGGAGAGGTCAGGCTGGGCTCAGCCCCATGCTGCTGGGGCTTGGCTAGGAAGAAGCTTGTCCTCTATCTCTCTCTCTCCCTCATGGGAAATTTATCTTTGTCATCTTTGTTTTCCATCCTGCACTTTATTTATGGCATTCCTTTTCTCTCTGCAGGCCTGGCGTGATCACCATGCAGGCGCTTTCAGAAGAGGACCGAAGGCTGTGGATGGAGGCAATGGATGGCCGGGAACCGGTGAGCAGAAATATTAGCAAAAAAGTGTTGGAGAAAATTGTGGAGAGCTTTTTGTAGCCCAGGGCAGATTGTTTGCTGTGAAGCAGGCTGTCACGCAGCGCCTGCCAGCCGGTGCAAGAGCTGTATCCGTGGGGCAGCTCACACCTTCTGCCAAGAGAATAGTTTAATCCCTTGGTTAAATATTTGAGGTAATACTGTATCTCCTGTGCTTGGATTGCTTGAAGGTGCGGTGGAAAGGAGGAGGGTAGGCTTGGCCAGCACAAACATGCTGCCGTGCTGTGCTGAAAAGAAAACATGGCAAAAAGAGTAGTGGAAGAAAATACGCTGTAGATTTCCAGGGCTTTTTGAGTCCTGTAACTCATCTGGCAGCTGTTTCTGGGTCTTGTGGAGAATTGCAGATTTCACGTGAGCAGAGGAGTGTCGCCCCTCTTCCCTGTACTCAGCGATAGCCTCGCTGCTGCGTTTGCTTCTGCTGTGCCAAAGCTGCACAGGCTTCCGCACCTCTGGGAGGGATTACGGAGGTTTTCAGAAAATTCATTGTTGTTGTTTGTTTTTTTTTTTTTTTTTTTTTTTTTCTTCTTTTTAATTTTTTAATGCATATGCAAACTTCACTTCCAAGCTCGAAGTGCTTTGGCTGGTTCTGACTGGGTTCCCTCGGAGGAGTGCTGGTGGGGGTGCCGTGTGCTGGCGGCGCATCCATCCCGGTTTTGGTGTGGCGGCTGTCCAGCAATGAACGGCGAGCTCAGCACCGCCGAGCAGCCTTTGGACACGGAACGGGGCTAGACTGGGGGCCTCTGTGCCTTGGCGTGGCCAAAAGCATAGCAGGATGCAAAGAGAAACTTTGTGGATAGCGAGAGCAGCCAGGGCGGTTACGGGACAGCCCGCACGTTTTTGGAGTAGGTGTCTGTGCTTCTGGGCTGGAGTCAGGCTCTGGCAGTCGGAAGAGAGTCCATGCAGGGAGCAGAGTGTCCTGTCCCAGCACAGCCTCGTGGCCACAGACTGGTACTGGTTTGAGCAGTTCCCCCCCCCCCAGTCCACGGAAAGGTCCTTGTTTGTCAGCAGAAGCGTTTGTTAAAGCCAGCTGAGACATGGGTACATGCGGGCTGTTCAGCGAGTGCTGGAAAGCGGAGGCTGGGCTTAGGCAAGCAACTTGCTTCTGAAACACACAGTGGTTTGGCGGTCTGGAAGCTCTGCATGTGTGAGGGTGCTGCCGTGTATTTCAGGTAGAGCTTTTCATTGTGGATTTACAGCCAGGTCTCAGCTTGGAATTGTAGATCCATTGGGTAATTCAGGCAGGACAGGACCTCAGGAGGTTTCTAGTCCAGCCTGCTCACAACAGATTACTTGGGGCATTATGTGGTTGGGTGCTGAAAACACCTGAGGAAGGTGACTGCTCAGCCTCCTCGGGCTCCAGCTCCACTGCTTGACTGTCCTCCCAGAGGAGAGTTTCTCCTGATACCCAGTCTGAACCTCTTTCCTGTTTCAATTTACACCCATTGTCTCTTGTCCTTGCACCATGCGGTGCTGCGAGGAGCCTGGATCTGTCTTTCTGATGCCTTCCTCTTAGGAGGGGTGCTGTCAGGTCCCCACAAAGCTTTTCCTTCTCCACGCTGAATAAACCCCGCTCCCTAACAGGGGTTATGTGCCGTGTAGCTTGGACCTAACTGTGACGGTCACCACAGCTCTCTGCCACGTTGGGTTTCCTCCCTGCAGCAGAATTGTACTTCAGAAACAAAAATGCTCAGTTACACCTGCAGACGTACCATTTCCAAGAACAGGCACTGTGGGATGTGCAGGCACAGGGGCAAAAAAGGACTGAATGTGTTTTGTGCGCAGGACAGCTTCTGCTCCCTGTTTCTGTCATGTGTTGAAAAGGGACCCTTGTTTGGGAGAGCCAGCCTGCACCACCACCATGGCTCTTGACCCGGGTGGCCCTGCCCTGGAGCAGCTCTAGTGGGAAGACTCTTGGGTGTAAGACATACCAACCTCTCCAGTTCCAGTGTGCAAGCTGTCTTGTTCCCTCCTAAATTAACTCCTACCTTGGTTCTGGTGGCACCTGAAGACAGGATAATGTTTTGAAGTTCTTCAGAAACAAAGCATGTATTCTTGTTCCTCATCCAAATCAAGCCTTGTCCTCCTCCAGCCTGCTCACCTGCTTCCCACTGCCTCACCTCCTCTGAGAACTGTAGTTGCAAGGGTGCAAAACCCGGTTGCCTGCAACGGGAGCTGCGTGCATCGGTCAGCCAGCTGCATTTTGACCTGCTGATGTTACCAGGATTTGGCACAACAGCAAAGCCAGTCTGTTAGGATCAGGTTGCAGAAGTGCAGCCGGAGATTGTGCGTGCTTGTGAAGTGCTGTATATGTGAAAGGTGCTATGAAGGACTGTCTGGATTATCCTGTTTCAGAATCTGGTTATGTGAACTCCTTTAAAAACACACAGGTCTTCGTGCTGCCGCCTGCGTATTTCTATTCTTCCCTATCATGCCCATCAGCTTAGGGTAGCTTGCTCATCCGGCACATCAAGGATTGTTGCTGCATGTTAATGCAATACCTCATGGCACTTAAATGCTGATGGCGTTTAAACCTGGCCTTCCAGGTGTGGTGCGGGAGCCATGGGAATGAAGCCTGTATGGAAATGGATCCAAGAGGCATTTTACTGACAAAGATGGTGTGTGTTGACAGACAAGGTGGCTCCTTGTCCTCACTTATCCTCCTCAATCCATCAGAAGTGGAGTTGTTGGTCTGTTCTGTTTGAGTTCTCACCTTGCGACACCAGGGTGTGGGATGTTACCTACTCCGCAGAGTTTTCCTTGAGCAAGAGACAAGGATTTAACCTTTGGACTCCTAGAAATATCCATTCTACGCTTTGACTATATTTCTGTAACCAAAAAACCCCTACTGGAAAGAATGTCTGCTTTTCCTTTGATTTGAATATTGACTGTGGGAACGACTGGCACAGTGGGGACAGTAATTCCATGTGCAAATTCAGGCTGCAGAGAGAATAAAGTGGCCTGGAGTTTGTTTCTTAATTATAATTAAAAAACTAAAGCCAAATGTTGTATTACATTTTAGTAAGATCTAAACATAGAATGTGAGCTGCATTAGCCAAGACATTTGTCACAACTTGAAAAGATTTATTATATATCTTGCAGTCAAAGCAGTCTCCAGATAGCTATCATCAGTCTGTTAACTCTTACCACTTGTTATTAATTTGGCTAAAACCCCTGTGTTGACTTTGGGTTTTCTTTTATGCTACAGAGGCTGGAAACAGGAGAAAATACTAATTCTGTAACAGGGCAGTTGCATTCATTTTTGTTAGGATATTCAGGGTAAGTTTCCTATGGTTTTTCTCCTCTGGTCATGCAGTTTGCAAATGTATATGGTGGAGGCCAGAGTGATTCCGAAACTTCATTGGAGCCTAAGTCAAAAATGAAAGCTGTGTTGGCTCATAGCGGCAGCTGTGGTAGGCTGTAGGATTAAGAGAGGCACAAATTAGGCTGTTTGCTTTGTGGCAAAGAACTGAACAAGATAAGCATTTTAGTAAGGTTGTGGCTTTGCTTGCCAAGTCTGCAGCGAGCATGCCAGCCAAAAGAGAGCTGTTGGTGTCAGCGGTTCCTGCTGATACCTTCCGAGCAGGTCAGTGATCTTAGAAATCATCCTCACATCAGTGGGGGGAGATGCGGGGTACTGGGTTTGAAGTGTTTGCAACACGAAAGTGTTCCTTGCAAGGTAAGAGTATGTAGAGGGTTAAGGATATGAAACATGTTAGAGCATTTCCCGGTTGAGCTGTATTAATCCATTGTCCATAACCTTGAGTGGTGATGGAGAAGTTAGTGTTAAATGGCAAATGCAACAGGCTGTGATCCTGTCAGAGTCAGTAAAACATGGATGGGATCTGAGCAGTGCTGTTCTGACACTCGCATCGTGCTGCCCTTTGCTCGATTTGTTTTGTTTTTCTTCTTTGTTCTATAAAGCAATATAAGTCTATAAAAATACAGCCAGCGTTTTGTATCGCAGCTGGTTTTGTTAGTGTTGTACAGCTGAGTGCACCACGGGTTGGGGATGAGCGGTCGGTCTCATGCCCTTGCAGGGGAGTCAGGAAGGACTCTGAAATGGAGACGCATAAGCAGTGCTTTCTCCTTTCCTTCTGCTCTCCTTACCCTCTCTTCAGTTCTTTAACATAATCTGCAAGTTTGCAAAGGCAAGAACAAAGTACAAAGTCCCCTGCATGCTTCGGGAAGCTCGAGGCTGGTCACTGGCTGGAAAGGCAATATGGCAGAGGCTGGTGGGTTTTGTTTTGGGACCTGCTGTAGAGGAAGGGCCCTGTTCCTCTTGGCTCTCGCGTCGTGTGAAGCAGCTCCATCCTCTGGAAAGCAAATAAGGTTTCTGTTCCCGTTCTGGAAGAAGGCAATTCCAGGATCTCACCACTCTGAGGTCTAGAAACCTTCCCAGGGTCTCCCACCCACCCAGGTTTAGTCGTGTCTGCTCCTCCATGGGCAGCCACTGGGCTGCACGGCCACGGAGCCCTGCGAACCTGCACGAGAACTCGGAGCCGTTCCTTGGCGGTGGGGTCGGATGCAGCCCCATATTGCAGGGTCCTGAGGGCTCTTGCCTGCAGCCAGCAGGAGCTCAGGTCGGGGGGGGGGGGCAATGAGGTGTAGCACGGTGGGCCTGAAGGACTCGATTCCCTTTCTGCAGCCGCCTCGGGGCTCCCAGCCGTGTTGGGGCTCCACAGAGCCCAGCTCCTCCTCGGCTCCGTGTCTGTGGCGGCCGCCCTGGCGCTGGGTGCTCGGGTGTTGCCGTGTCTCGTGTCTCGTGTCTCTGCGCTGCGTCGGGAGCGGAGGTCGGGCTCACCGCGCTCGCCCCCCAGCACAAAATGGAGCGGGGCGGGCGTGGGAGGAGGCCGTACGGCCGCGTCTCCACTAGATGGCAAGCTGAGACCAGCCCGCTCATTGCACTTGTGCCCCGGCCAGGGCAAGGCCAGACCCACCGACACCAC